CATTGCCTTATTGACTATGACCTGGTGAGCAGTCACCCATCTGTTTTCACTTTGCACCACTTGCCTGATGCCTGTCTGAGGGGAACAGATAGCCCCCACTGTCCGCACTAAGTAAGCCCTGCAGTCCTGGGCACTCAGTTCCCCTCCTCTCAAAATGACCAAGCTATTAGGTGTCAGCTTCTGTCAGTCATGCTCAGGGACTCAGCAAAGGCAGAAAATGGAAGAGAAAACCAAGATGAGATGGATGGGCCTGCTGAGGTCAAGGCGAGGACTCAATCATCCTTCCCAATTCTCCAGGGACTCCTTTGACCAGGAGCTTTCTTGTTACCAGGCACTAAACCAGACATTCCCTATACATGTGGGAGGGCCCAAGTCATTCATGGCCCAGGCAGGAGGTGGCAGGTAAATTGGACAGAAGGAAGGATGAAGAGCAGAAGTCAGGGAGGCTGGATGGGGCCCAAAGAGTGTCATGAAGACAGGGAGCCCACACCTTCCCAGGGTAGAGACACACCAGCCCCTTCCCTGGGAAGTCTCAATGCCTAGTCTCCACAGTCCCATCTCTGTATGATGAGCACACTTCAGAGGTGAGGGCCCTGATCCCTAGAAGTGAAACCGGAAAATCCAGCATTTGTGCTGTCTGTCACTAGCAGAACCAATAAGTAGAGACAAGGATTGAATCTTTACGGGTGCTATATTCAGATGCTGGCAATCTAAATGACAGTGCGTTATGTACCCTCAAAAACCATCTTAACATCTCATCTCAAGCTGACCTTTTTATAAGAAGGAAGGATAGGTAAGGGGTTTGGGGAAAAGGTTAATTGGATAATAGTTGCAGTCAGTGATGATTTTCCTAGTACTTCTTTATCTGTTGATCAACATGTTTGTGTTCCCTCCCTGGAACACAATGGCTTGATACCACCTCCATCACTTGCAGATCCCCTGTGGCACAAAGACTGAACTGCTTGCCGACCTTCTGGAGTCATGTGGTCATGCATTCCAGTTCCTGAAATAATAGCTTTCCATGTGCATTAATCACTTAAGCCTATCAATTATGACTGAAGCTAAAATTTTTAACTCTTGCATTCCCCTGTCAGGAGGACAAAGTGTCACTCTGTATTAGGCTGTAGGCCAGGCCCTAGAACAGGGGCAGACTTCAGGCAGGATCAGTGGGGAGGGTGTAGGGGCTTAATCTGAAAAGTCAGAACCTGAGTAGTAGAAGAGGAGGGAGTGATAGAGAGGCATAGGCTCAGTCACCAGGGAAGGAACAACATGAGCAAGAGAGCTTGAAAGGGAGAGAACCCAGCTGCCAGCCTAGGGAGCTGTCATACTACAGGAAGTGCATGGCCATGTCCCCAGGGTCTGGTCAATGCAGGAGCTCAATAATTTTGAGGGAGGGAGGGAAATAGGAATGAGGGGAGGAGAAGAAAAGGGAGGAAAAAGAGGAGGAAAAGAAGAGAAGGGCAAATGGAAGGGAAAGAATGAGACCAAGAGGGAATGGAAGGGAGAATGGAGGAGAGCAGGAGGGAGGGGAGAAACATAATTTGGTATGGAGTGGGGAGCCACTAAAATTTTGAGGAAGAAACAGATAGTCACAACCTGAGAAGGGCTGGACTGGAAAGAAACTGGAACAAAGGAAATAAATGGGAGAGGGAGAGAGGCAGAGAGCAGTTAAAATGTCACAGTAACCTGAAATGCCAACTGTAACATATTGTTAGGTGGCCTGTACTGTTCTCATAAAATTAACTGCAGATATGGGAAAATGATGTTGCTGTGTTCCCATCTCACCTTTTCTTCCTGGTTGTGTTTTCTAGGCCAGTAGAGTGAGTGACCCTGAGGACGCAGGCCCTGGCCTCATCACAGCACGGTCAGACCAACTGCTCTGGGTCTCTTATCTCTGCTGGAGCCCAGGCCATAAATCTCATCGGGAGTGCCTGCTCAGGAAATGCTCAGAACAATGAATGTCCACTGAACAGGGGAATCGGTGAGAGGAAGAATGAATGAATGAATGAGCAAACAAACCAATCAGCCAATGAACTAACATCCTCCCCAGGATGAGGTAGAAAAGCAGCAGCCCCTCCCAGGCCCAGCTCACTCAGGCCCTGAAGATCTTTGCTGCCTTTTGGGCTGGAATCATGAAGCCCTGGAGGTATTTCCAGCAGCTTCCAGCAGCACTTGTTCCCAGAATCCAGACTCCAGCAAGTAACCCTCACCCATCACTGATGGCAGTTGTAAGAGAGGACTCAGGCAACAATTACATGCACATCTTATTTGCCAAAAGAAATAAATTGTCCAGCAATATTTTTCTAGAAGTTAATTATGAAAAGTTTGGTCTATACTTAAAAACAGGGCTGTTTACAAAGGCCTGTATAACTTTGCCCTAGCACAGACGTCGAAGGCATGTGACAGCTCTAGGCATCCTGTGGTCCCCAGGGGGTCCCACCTGCCCACTCCACCATCCCTCCTCTCACAGCTCAGGTATACCAGGCCAGACCTGCCTCACAGCCCCCAGTTAAGTCAAAAAGTCTCTCCTTGGAGAACGAAGGCCCTGCTTCTTCTATGACCGAGGGTCACCTTGAAACAAAAGATGAACCTGACCTATTCTCGTTGCCCTAGGGCAAGCACAGATTTGCTTTAGGACTGCAAAAAGCTGGCAGCTGCCTTGTTTGGCAAGGCCTCAGGTGAGGAAGACTACCTAACTGCATCACACGTTTCAGGGTACAGGTGACAACTGTGCTAGAGCCACTGAAGCAAGAAAAGACCCCGCTTCCAAGGTCATTGAGTGACATGAGGGCATGCAATAGATGTTAAGGAAAAGAAGCAGGAGGTGACAAAATACAGGGTGAGAAGAGCTGTTTCAAAGAGTGTTGCAAAGCACATGATACGTGCACCTCAGTGGGAAAAGAGAAAGTAGAAGAGAGATATGCCAAAATGGGGTGATGACTTTAAAGGCACATTGACTTTTTTCTTTCATGTTTTTGTGTTTTACAGAATACAAAATGAATGAATGAATAAAAACAAGTGAATGTCTACAACGAATACATAAACCTTGATAAACTTACAAAGTTATCTTATGAAAGTAGCCTTCCTGCCAATGTCAACAGGCTGCACTTGGAGGTATGTGGAGCCTGGGAGCCTGATTCTAAAGCCACCAGTTTACTTTGGGTTCTGTCATCTTTAGCAAATGCTTTCGCTAACTTTTAAATATTGTAATTACTGTCTATTCAGTGTTTTCTGGGTGCAGAGGACTATGCCCAATAGTCCATATGATCACTTTCAACATACACAACTAGCTTATGTATGCATTACCACTTAGGGTTGTCAAAGTATGGATGCAATAATGTATTCATAAGCACTGTGTATTTTAGTACCTGTCCTCTGAGGTATTTCATTTCAATAGCATTAAATGCCCATTCATCCCCCTGAAATTAAGCACAAACTTTGGGCCTGGCATTGTGTCCCTGCATGCATTTTCCCCCCTGCAAATTGTCCTAGTCCCTTGAGCTCCATCAGATGGCCTCGATGTAAATTCCAATCTGAGAAAGCCAAGTGTCTTAAGGGCTGACAACTGAACTTTTTACAAGAGTCAGTCTACCAGCACAGGGGGTCTGCCCACCTGCTCTGGGCAATATTGTGCTAAATATACTCATTGAAGGGTCCGGTTTAAGGAATTATGCCCCACGGGTGTTTACTACAGCTTGCTGTGGCAAATGGCCATAGAATGCAAACTGGCATAGAAATCCACTTGAAAGGTGCCTGAACAAGGAAAACTCGGGTTTAAGCAGCAAATTGGTAAAATATTAATGAAACTTGGGGCAAAAACACAGCTGAATTATTTTGTTAGGCTTCTAATTGAAGGGGAAATGTTTTTTAAGAGTTGACAAATGTGAAACACGATGCTTTCATTCAGGGAAGAATAATCTGATAATCAGATTCCTACAGTCCTGTTGTCCTGAGACTGTTTCCATGATTTGGAGGAAACTTAAAAAGTGGCACCAAATAAGGCAAACAGCCACCTGGAACTCCTGCTAAATCGGTAAAATTTCCTATTTAGAAAAACAGCACACCATCCCTGCCTAAAAGCTCAGTGGACACTGGGCAGCTTGTTAGCAGCATGCCAGCTCCATGGGTACTTCCCCTGCTGAAAGCTTCTGAAGTTAGGCAGGGATGAAACTAACTCATATTGATCACATAAGATTGATTCACTCCGGACATTTCCTCCTAGGTCCTTCTTAAAATAAGCCTTTGTTGAAAAGATTTAAATTATTTTTCTTCTGTAAGTCTCTAAATGGCACTGTGAATTGCATCAGTCCTCCTGTGATGTGGGAAGAGAATACTCAGAATAGTAGACAGCAGATGACTTACTCACACCTATTTGTGTAGACGATGCCTTCCCATTTTTGCTCAGATCTTTTTTCTATCACAACCATGACAAAACGATGACTCATGCTTAAATGCAGCCATCATGTCATATGCGATGTTAATACTTTGATGACATTGCTGTAGGCTCCATTCCTTTAAGAGGAAAAGGGTTCCTGAGAGGGCTGTGCCGCCAACCTCAGGGGCCACAAAAAGGCAGCGTCTGCACAAGGCAATGCTCATTGTGCAGAAAGGCTGCCTGCCTCCAGCAAGCTGTTCCCATAAGCAGCTGTCTAGGGGGTGGGGCGGGGCGAGGAGGGGGAGGGCAGAGCGAGGCTGCTTTATCAGGTTGGATGGACAGCCTTTAGCAGTTGCACTGATGCCTTATCTCAAGTATGCTCCTGCCCTGTAGTTTAAAAATCTTCCTAAAAGGAGAGAAACAGGGGCAGGGCTCAAGTCCTGCCCTAACTCTGGGGCAATGTCCCCTCCCCCACTCCCAGCTCCCTGGAAGCCTGTATGCAATTCAGCCTAGACAGGAGGATGAACAGGTGCCATCCAGCTCCATGAGTTTCAACAATCATCTGCAAGCCTGCTGACTACAGCCCCATCAGAAAGGACCCCTTACCCTCAATAAAGAGAATACGTTTGTTTCAGTAAGTTTATTGTAAAATTCAAAGCTGCAGCAGCATAATCCTTTGGAAAATGAACCATCGCCCAGATCCGTTTTGAAGCAGTAGTGCAGACTGCTAGGTCCGTCAGAGCTCCAGTAACTGTGCAAGTCCAGGCCTCCTGGCCTCGCCTTTCCCCAGCTTCCTGCCCACAGCGCAGGCTGCTGAGTCACGCCTACCAGGTCAGTCCATCCTTCCCAGCATTGCGGCCAACGTCCAGCCTCTGGCCTTACTGGGCAAGCAGCCGCTCCCCACACATGTAGAGTCCTTGGCTAGGGGCCAGCCTGCCCCTGCCGCTGGGCCGCCTCTTTGGAGGAAGCCTCGCCTCCTCGCCGGTCTCCACGTGCCCCCGCCTGCCAGTCTCCACGCCGAACTCCGGCGCCCTCCGAGGGCGCGTCTGCAGAGCCAGCCCCGCGCTAGGCGCCCCGGGGCATCTCCACAACGATTAGACCAAAGACCTCCGCGGGACTGTCACTCGGGGAGGGTGATACTGGGCACCCAGTCATTGACACTGCGGCTCTCTTCGCAGAACAGACTGAGCTTCTCCAAGGCGGGGTCCTTCCATGCATCCTCATTGGGGTTCTGAAAGGAGAGCACAGAGGTCAGCTAGGTTGGCCACTAGACTCAGGTTTGGGGCGGGAGTGGGTGGGGACCGGAGAAGCGCACTCACCGAGATGAGGATGCAGTGAAGGTCTCCTGGAGTGCCTGCCTCATCCCCAGAGCCCACGATGGCCGCCAGTCTCTGCACGTCGCCCACACGCACGATATCGATGTCGTTTTCACAACAGAATGCCTGGATCAGCGTGAAATGAATCTGCAGCGCGATGTCGCCTTCATCCTCCTCGTCGGCAGCCAGCACGCAAAACGTTACGTTGTCAGGGTCCCTGCGCCAGCAAAGGAGGGGTGATGAGGTTATGGCAGCGAGCTCTGGGCCCCCGCCCCCCCGCCCAGTCTCCTGGGTCTCCCCACCGCTGCCCTGCCCGGGTAGCCACCCGCGTACCGCGCTTGTACTCACACGTTCAGGACTTTGGCTGACTCGTAGACTCCGGCGGTCAGGCAGCCCTGGCGCTGGGCCGACAGCAGCAACTCGTGCAGCGCTTTCCCGGCACCCTGCATCCTGCGAACGAGCAAGCTCCGTAAGCGGAGACTGGATGAACCGCGACGGGGCCCCCAAGCACAGAAACGCACCCCTGGCGCCCTAGCTCAGGGATGCCCCTGAGAGTCCCGCCGACGTACCCGCCGCCCGGCACCCCCGCTAACAGGCTTCCGCTCGACCAGTCGTGAACAGGGCAGAGGGAGGTTCCGCGCACTCCGAAGTGTCCGGCAACGGGCGCCGACCCACCTGGCTGTGCTTTCAGGAACCGTGTCCTGGCCGCGGACTTCTTCCAGTGTCATGGTGCGGTCCGTGAGCAGCTAGATATCCAAAAGAGGAGCTGGCGAAGAGGACCAAAAGAGGACGTGGAAGTCCACAGCCCACTACGGCGCGCCCACTGTCAACGAAAGTGTCCGCCGCAGCCGTGCACTTATATAAGCCCGGACCAGGCAACGCCAGCTGGCGCAAAGCTGCGAGCCCATTGGCCAGTACCCGCTTTCTGATGCAAATGAGGCGGCAGCCGGCGGCTCGTGCCCGAAGGCCACGTGGGGAGGGTTGGGGGAGGGGGGAGGGGGCGATGACAATGCCTTAAATCTGACTCTTTTGTCGGGGTATTACTGGGCAGACTGAAGTCTGCAGATTTCATTTCGATTCTGGGTTTTGGTTTTTTTCCTTGAAAGGAAAAGTTACATATTAAAAAAGAAAAACCTTGTTTGTGAATAGGACTGCAATTTTTGAAATGCACCTTTGGATAATCTGAAGGATTTATTTTGCACTTGTTACTACCTTTCTATTTTTGTCTTTACTTTTAATTTGGAGTTTTTGAGGCTTTGAAACTGAAACTGAAAGCAAAATCACACAGCGCTCGCTGGCTTTAAACTTGAAAAGCCGACACTTAAGCCCCAGAGGCGTAGACGAGGCCTCAATGCGCACTCAAAGTCCCGACCCAAAGGCAGTGGTAGGTCCTAGTGAGGGTCCCAGTGCCCTGGTAAAGTGCTACAGGGCGCTGGGCCCGCAAGCAGATTGTAGCCTGCGACTGCAGCTCGTTTGCATTTCTATGGAGGGCGCACAATAGCAGAGGTCTGGCGTGTGGCGCTTTGCGGGAGGGACAATCAAGGCTTTCTCTTCCTTGCGACACTGTCCACCTGCCGCCTGGTGGGGTGAGCGGGAAGGCGCAGCGCGTGGGGGTCGCCGAGCTGTCCGACGTTTGCGGGTCCGGACTGCTTGCAGCTCCTGCGCCCTTCGGTGCGCTCCCCCTGCGCGCGCCCCTCTGCACCCACTGCCCATTTGCTTCCAATTCCGCCCCACCCAGGAATTGAAAAGAATACAAGGCTGCCGCACTGTCTACGAAGTTTTGTGCGCTCCGCCAGGACGCCAAGTTTCCCGTTCCTAGAAGCTGGGGATACGAGGCTTAGAATCCCTTTCCCGGGGCGCCATCTACAGGTCACCAGAAAGATCCTGACCACCCCGTTCTCAACTCCCCATTTCCATTGGCCTCCGGGGTTGGCCGCTGGCCCTCCACCCACCTGTCAAGGGGTGGCTCTGACAGGTTCCAATGCGTCCCGGCCAAACTACCCATTGATGGAAGTCAGAGTGAGGGCCGCAAAACCAACCCGGGGAGGAGGTGGGCAAGAAATATGGAGCAAGAGTCCATATTTCTTATGCTCTTTTAAGTTTTTTAAATTATTTAAATATGTACACATAAAAAGCTTGTTTTCCGGTAATAAATAGAATAATAAAACTGGAAGAGACCTCTAGAAAGTTTAAGAGACATTGCTACGATGTGACCATTTTGGACTTACAGCATTTCAGGCTGTTTGCTCACTTTTGGTGTTTGCAGCTCTCGGTACTGACCCATCCTTTTGTAGCAAGCCCAGGCCCTGGAGGCTGGGCAGGACAGTGAGGGGGGGGCGGGCAGGGGAAGGGGATTCCTGGAAGCCCAGGCAGGCTCTGCAGCCTGATAATGACGGAGAAAATAATCAAGTGAGCTGGCGGCTGGCGCCCCAGGATGGCTTACCCACAAAGGATAGCAGCAAAATCAGGCCACCTCTTCCAATTCCAAAAAGCAGGTGTTTGGCTCACTCAACATTCTTGAAACTGATGTGTCTCAACCTCGCTGGAGCCTGAGGCTGCGTTTATTTACTATTGTTTCCTTTCTTTCTATTTTGGTGGCATATAAAATGATGGTGTGTCTCAATTAGATCAAATCTGTTCATTTTTAAGTGATTGAGACTTGGGCATTGTTCTTTTTAAATGTATTTGTGCCAAGGGGTCTGGCTGAGTAGGTCATTTGGTTGGAGCACCATCCCAAAAAACCAAGGTTGCAGGTTTGTCCCTGGGCAGAGCATGTACAAGAATTAATCAATGAATGCATAAATAAGTGGGAAAACAAATCGATGTTTCTCTTTCTCCCTCCTTCTTTAAAATCAATAATTTTTTTTTTTTTTTAATTCACTAGGCTGGAGAGTTGCATCTAGCTGAGGTAGTCCCACCCTCAGATAGGCTTTCACAGGCTGGAGAGGCAGTTTACTTAAAAAAAAAAAAAAATAGTATTGGTTCCAGGTCACCAGGAAATGGTGAGAATAAGACTTATTTGACATCTTAGCACCTCCTCCCCCCATCACCATTTATAACACTAAAAGTTTCTTGCACACCATGCTTCAGCCCCTCCACCCAGAGTAGGCCACTGGACAGGTCTGATTAGGGAGACAGAAGCTGCATTTCCATTTGGCACTGAGCCAGCCCTGAGGGAGGGCGCTTACTAACACCCCCCCGGGGCTATCCTATTTTGCTCACATTTTTAAAGTATTCCATTTCAGGAAAACTGCCTTTCTCACACAGGATATGACTTCGCATGGGTTTATTAGGTCAGTCCAAATGTCCCCAAAACCCTCATATCAATTAGGAAAGAAACATTTTATCAGAAGGCAAGGTTGGCCCTCCACCAGAACTCCCCAACCCCGACCCAGCAGTTAGACAAATTCAGAAGCTGCTGTGTCTGGGACAGGCCATTTCCCCGCAGACTACAGGAGGGGAATGGAAGAGGCTGCACCCTGTCCCTGGTCCCTTCAGCCTGCCCCAAGGTAGAAGATTGTTGACAATAGCCAATGGCCCACCTGCCCTGCTATGACACTCCCAAATGGCATTCAGCCAGTGTCTCAGCCTGCAGGAGCCCTGCATTCTAGAAGGCTCTGTTGTTACTCCAAGCTCCCCATGATTGTACCCCTAAAACTTCCCCTGAACCTTGACAATGCAGGTGATGATGACTTTATTGAAGACACATCCTCAGAGATGCTATGTTTTTAAAGCCTTTGGAAGTGTTCACAATTTAATTATTTTATTAACACATTCTCGGAAATTCACTTCTTGGTTACTCTCATCACCTGATAGAAATGTTGGAAGAGAGTCTGCTGATTCTGATATGGAAGGAAATGGGCTTTGAGTAAGTAGTCAGCATTACAATATAGTCCCTGTTGCAATTTCTTGAATTATTTCTTTTTAGTGTGCACAAACACTGTCTTTAAGTAGCAGGTTCATCCTCCTTATGCCCACGACCCCACCAGAGGGTGCAGGGCACAGATGTGCTGCTCAGAGCTCCATGCTGGCTTAGGGAAAGTCCAAGTCATTGCCACCTTTCAAAACCGGCAGATTTCACATATGAACTTGAATTTCCAGCTTTTCTTGTAAAATGAGATTTGGCCACCATGTGCCTGAAGCCACCACTACCCCCACACACCATGGTAAACATCCGCTGAAAGGGAGGCACTGGAACCCCAGACTGAACAGTGCTCTCCAGTTCACCACATTCCCTCTGCACCCTTTTGAGGATGCCTGCTGCTTCATTCATTTATGTGACCTTCTTGTCCCCTGTAGCCGTTACATATGCGATCTTTGAAAAGAAACCAAAGTTTGAAAAGCAAAATAAAGAGGCCAGGTGCTTAAAAGATAAACTCAAATAGGTCAAGCATTATTTGTGTCCCAGATTCTGCAGGACTGGTCTCCCTCATGACACAGGGCTCTGGAAGCAGTCTGAGTTGGTTCCTTTCTAAATGGCTGGGCGTTGCTCTCAATGCCTCACTTCCACCCCTTTGTCAGCCCCTTCTCAGGCAGCAGAGGCCTCCTTGGGTTTCAAAAAGAGTGATTTTCCCCCCCAAAAAAAACTCATGCATGGAGGGAGGGACAAGAATGAATCAGTGACAATACTACATGAACTCAAAAAAGAAACTAAATCTTTGTGCAAGACACACACTTACTTAAATCCCAGCAGTGTTACTGCGAATGTGTTCCAGAATCTAACAAGCACAGTATGATGCCCCCAACCCTTCTGCCATGCACCCCACCCTCTGAAACATGAGGTCTGTCAATGGGGAGGTTTCAAATGACAACTGAGACAGGAAACAGGAAACTGGAAAGGGAAACTCCCACCTAGCAGAAGCCAGACATCCGTGGTCAGTCCCCACACAGACAGGGATTTCTGGAAGGAGCAATGGATTAGCATGTGAGAGGTTCACATTAGCTCAGTAAAATTCCTGAAATAGGATGGGCGGGGGCGGGGGACAAATCATTCATGCATTTGGTACTTTCTCTGTCATGAGTAATAAATGATTGTGACACATGTCACAGCCATAGGCTGAAAACCCCTGAAAAACCACTGATGTGCTGACCTTCAAAGCTTGGCCAAGTGCCTGCCTCCTGAGCCTCGGTTTCCCACGTATGAAATGAAGGTCTGCCCTTTGCCCTTCATGAACTTTGTAGGGAGTTTCTAGAGGTCACACCTGGTCACCATTTGGCCCACGTACAGGTTTTGTTTGGTGGGCAATGTTTTAAAATGACTTACACATTCAGGTCTGACTTGTGTGTTTGTGTAAGTAGGAGCAGGTGGCATGCACTTTCCATGTCACCCTAGACACGTCCCAAGTGTCACATTAGGCCTGCTGGATTATTTAGCCCCTGTCTGGCCCCTGCAGACATTTGAGTTTGTGATAAACTTTCTTTTCTAACGGCATACTGTAAACTGAGATACTGTGGTCACCTTTCTGAAAACATTAACTTATAAGCATATAATAGATTAGTAGAACTTTTTAACTGAAAGCTCTACTTTCTGAAAGATAATTTAAAGTATATAAATACTCAGTACAGTAGCATAATATTGGAGGTTACAGTTGGCAGAACAGGATTCAAAACTGGGCTTTGCTGCTTGCTTAACTTTGACCTTAAGCAAAAACTTAGTTCATGATTTAAAGTGTAAAGTAAGACAAGGAGGTAAAAAACCTGTATTTTGGAACTCATAAGACATTGAAGAAAGAAATTAAAGAAGACAAGACTAAATGGAAGTATATACAGTGTTCATGGATAGGATAGGTTTTAACATAGTTAAAATCTCCATACTACCCAAAGTGATCT